ATTTTTAAACTACATCATTACTATGAGTGACCCAGTACAGATTCTTTCCTCCTCAGAGTCAGTAGAGTCAACTTCTTTCTTCATTTATAGAAAGATGTATATTTGGGTAAAGACAATATTAAAGTTGAATGCCCCTGTAATATCATTTAAAATTTATCAGATACCAGTCGTGTCCAAACATTGCTATGTTGGTATCGAAAAGAGATACTTGACCAAACACTCCATCAGCAATTAAGCTGATGATACCCTTCTCCTCAGAATCCTGACGATCTGATGACTGCTTTTCCCATTTCGTGATAATTTAATGAATTGTACACAGAACAACAGACGTGATTCCTCTTATGAGTGGTGTGTTGCCACTCATAAGTCAGCGTGGACCGAAACCAATCTGTGCTATCGTGTTTGAAATGTTAGATTTCACAGCACTCACTGCTGAAGATAATTAACTATTAAGGAGCAGCTTATTTATGAGTGTTCCTGCTACATGGCGGAGATGTCCTTTGCGGAGCCACTTCAAGATTAGGCGGCTTTCTTTGGGGAAATCTTCTATTCACCAGGCAGGAGTCTTGAGCTCTTGAAATAAGAACTTGTTTAATTGGTTGCTCTTCCCAAACAAAGGCTCTTGTGCTTACAAAGTAGTACATGCTTAAGAACAGCTTTATAGAGAAAGTGCACTGTACCTTGAAAATATGCGTTTTCAGTTAAATGATGGGCAGAGTGCAGCAGAGAAATAAAACAAATGACTGAGAGAAACTTTTCAAAAAATGCTTGAAGGGTCCTGACAGAGACTATTGTTCCTGGTGTTTTCTCAGTGCCTTTCCAGCTCCAGCTGGAGTAATGAAGCATTTGACAGCTGACAGCATCCTGGTCTTTTCCCCCCTCCAGTATCGCGTGGTATCTTTAGCAGCCAATGACGGATGAGGGAAAAGCCAAGAGTCAGTGAGGCTCTGAAGAACTGTCTGACTCTCACAGACGGTGCAGTGACCAATGTTCAATGGTCGAAGGGCCAAAAGAGCGGGGAAGATTCAAGTGGGAGATGAAAGGGCTGCCTCACTCTTCGGTGTAGAAGTTGTGAAACCCCCTTTGCCTTTCCTCTTTCTTCTCAGCCTCTGGGAGGGTGTGTTGGTACAGAGTCAACCCTACAAAGAAAATAATGATGTCCTCTGTGAGCCAGTGACTGGGGGCCAAGTCCAGATTGGTTCAGATTAGGACTGCTCATACAACCTAGATTGAGAAATCTGTCTCTGTCCCTTACTGTATAATGTTTGAAATGACTGTAGCAAAATACAAAATGTCTTCTATGAGAGTGAAGTATGATCCACTGGGTGTAAGAAGAATAAAGGGGCACTCAGGTGCTATCTTTGAAATTGAAGCATACTAAAAAGAAAAAAGAAAAAAGAAAGCCACCTCACCCCAAACTCATTGCTTTGAAGTGAACTCTGACTCACGGGAAAATCATGCATTACAGAGAACTGCTCTGTGGGCTTTCCTTGGCTAGACTGAAATGAAGCATATCACTAAGTCTTTTTTTTTTTTTTTCTGAAATGCTCTGTGTGGGTTTGAACCACCAAACTTTATGTTAGTAGTCTAGAAACGATTTGTGCCACCAGGAATCATAAATTGAAGTGTGAACTCCTGTTTCAGAAAAGAGAGAGAACATGTAGGATATCCAGTAAGCATGCTGGAGAACTCTGGCCAAGCACAGGTTCTGCTGATACTTCATGGAATTTAAGTTCTTAGCACAGGCAAATACAATTGTTAATAAAACGTGAGCCTGCAGAAGAATGCCTCTACTGTGGCTTGTTTTCCATACTGAGAGAGCCGTGGGGAGAGGAAGTGGTGACTTTATTCTAGGTCTGTACCCCGTCATGGTCAAACAGCTCTCGGTTAACATCTCCTGGCTCCGACGCTGCAATCCCTCTCTGCTCTCATCTCCGCCATCCTCTACTCCAAACCCATGGCATGTTCCACATTTATCAATGACTTGTTTAAAATTCTGCCAAGAACTTAATACATTCTTTCCATCTAAATATTTTTCTTCAATTTTACAACATTATCTCTTTGTATATTGTTTCTGTTCCAATTCTTTATTCTTGCCACGTAACTGTGGAATATATTCTCATTACACAGATGCTGGACCTTCATAGTCCACCTCTGGGTCTCAGAATTACTCTTTCATATTTTTACCTAAATATCTCTTAGTTGCATCCTAATTGCTCAAATTATCTTCCAAATTATCTAACCTGTGTTCTTTAAACCCATACCCCCTGCCATTGAGTCAGTTCTGACTCATAGTGACCCTTCAATATATTTCTGAGGTTGTAAAAATGTGGGGTGTTTTTAAATCTTTATGAGAAAAGACTGTCTGTCTCACTAAGAACACAGGTGAATTCCTGCTGTCAACCTTTAGCTGCCTCATATGATCACCCAACAGGTGGTCTTAGTGGTAAGGAATTGCACTACCAACCCAAAGACAGGTAGTTCAAATCCATCAGCTGCTGTGTGGGACGAAGATAGACTGTCTCCTCCTGTGTGATTACAGCCTCTGAAAACCTGCTGGAAGGTCAGTTATGAGTCAGCTCTGACTCAAAAGCATGTAATAGCACCACCATCAGGGCTCCTTTGTGTAATTAATCTTCTAAAAATCCAAATATTATCTATTTTAATTTGTATCATAGCATTTTCACTTCTGCCTTCCCTAGCTGGAGAGTTCTTTCTTACTGGTTCCCGTTTTCAGATAGGGTTGCTCTTGTAGATTATGGTTGGGATCTTGATTCCTGTTTCCCCACTTCTTACATCAACTGACTCCAAATAAGCTGTTGTGGTGTAGCCATAAGAATCTAAAACCCAACCTCCAGGTCCTGAGCACTTGGATTTATATAAAGGAACCACATTTCGAAGAGCCACTTTAACATTGACACCAAGCTCAGCTCAACTCAGTGTCAACTCAGAAGCAACTCATAGAAGACCCTCCAGGAGGTTTTTGGAAGCTGTAAATCACAAGGGAGCAAGACAGTCCACTTTTCTCCTGTGGAGCAGCTGGTGGGTTAAAACTGCCTTGCATTTAGCTAAGCAGTGTAACTCCTTACCCACTAGACCACCAGAGTTCTCAACTCCAAGCTGCTACTGGGTTTTAATAGCTCCTCCAATTTTTTGGTATCTGGAGGTTTCTCCTAATTTCTTTTGGTCTTGGTTTGCATTGTTTTACGTTGTTCCACTTTATAAAGTGTTCCTATATCTAGTGAGAAGGAAATGTGGAGGATGGCGACCTAGCCAACTGACTGGAAGTGATCCATATTTATTCCTATTCCAAAAAAAAGGTGATCCAATAGAGTGTGGAGATTATGGAGAAATACCACTAATATCACACACAATTAAGATACTACTGAAGATTATACAAAAATGAATTGAACAGTGCATTGACCAAAATCTACCAGATGTGCAGGCAGGTTTTAGAAAAGATCATGGCACTAAAGACATTACAACCAATGTCAGATGTATCTTAACTGAAAGCAGAGAGTACCAGAGGAATGTCTATCTGTGTTTCATTGACTGTGCAAAAGTATTTGACTGTGTGGAACACAACAAACTGTGACTAACCTTGAGAAGAATAGGAATCCAAGAACACTTAATTATACTTATGTGAAACTTATACTTCAACCAGGAAGCAGTTGTCAGAACAAAGCAGGGAAACACTGCATGGTTCAAAATCAGAAAAGGTGTACATCAGGGAGACATCCTCCTTTTCAATCTTTATGAAGAGCAGATCATTCAGGAGGCTGGACTTGATGAGGTGGAATGTGCCATCAGGACTGGAGGAAGACTTACAACAACCTGCACTATGCAGATGATACAACTTTGCTTGCTAAAACAGAGAAGGACCTGAAATATTTGCTGCAGAAGATGAAGGACTGCAGCCTTCAATATGGATTGAAATTCAACATCAAGAAAACAAAGATTCTCACCAGTGGGCCAATTGGCAGCATCATGATAGATGGAGAAGAGATTGAGATTGTTAACAGCTTCAGCTTTCTTGCCTCCACAGTCAACACTCTGGATTCTAGTAGCCAGGAAATCAAACGATTAATTTCTTTGGGAAAGTCTACTGTCAGAGACCTCTCCAGAGTACTGTAGAGCAATGATGTCAGTCTATAGATTAAGGTGTACCTGATCCAATCCATGGTCTCAATTACTTGCTGTGCATCGGAGAGCTGAACAAGGACTAAAGATGACAAAAGACGAATTGATGCCTTTGAGTTGTGGCACTGGAGACTTGTATTGAACATACATGGACTTCCAAGAGAACAGATTGTCCTGGAGAAGGTGAATTCAGGCTGCTCCTTGGAGGCAAGGATTTTTTTAAAAAAATATTTTAATTTATTTATTTTTCATTTCAATGAACATCTACAGAGATTTTGGAATTCCATTCGTTCATTGTTGCACCCTTCTCCCTGTCCACCCCACCTCCCCCCCCCATTTGCTCCTCTCCTTGAAAAGCAAAAGAAAAACTCCCTCATTGGTACACAATCCTCCCTGCACCTCCCCCAATCCCATCCCCAACCCCAAATATAATCC